TTCCAGTGTCTGGCTGCTGCTTCACCTCATCTCGCGTCCGTACTACTTGCCCCTGAGGGAGACCCGGATGCACTAGACATCCCGACTCCGCGCTCTTACGCGGAGGCCGTAGAGGGTCCCTACTCCTCTCAGTGGCAGGCAGCTATGGATGCAGAGATGGCGTCCTGGAAGTCCACAGGCACCTACGTTGACGCGGTTCCCCCTCCTGGGGCGAACATCGTCAGTGGCATGTGGATCTTCAGGGTGAAGCGGCCGCCGGGCTCTCCACCTGTCTTCAAGGCGCGGTAAGTCGCTCGTGGCTTCAGTCAGCGGCAGGGAGTTGACTACTTTCAGACCTTCTCTCCCACCCCGAAGATGACCACTCTTCGGGTGCTGCTGCACATAGCCGCTCAGCGCGACTACGAGCTCCACTCTCTTGACTTCAGCACTGCTTTCTTGCAGGGTAGCCTGCACGAGGAGATCTGGCTGCGCCGTCCACCTGGCTTCACTGGGACTTTCCCTCCTGGCACCCAGTGGAGCCTCCGACGGCCAGTCTACGGTCTCCGCCAGGCACCGCGTGAGTGGCACGACACACTGAGGACTACGCTTGCGGCTCTTGGGTTTGCTCCCTCTACTGCTGACCCGTCGTTGTTTCTGCGCACCGACACTTCTTTGCCGCCGTTCTACATCCTCGTGTACGTCGACGACTTGGTCTTTGCCACAGCTGACACTGCTGGACTAGCCTACGTGAAGTCCGAGCTGCAGAAGAGACACACGTGCACAGACCTGGGTGAACTGCGCAGCTACCTTGGCTTGCAGATCACTCGGGACAGAGCACGCCGCACCATTACCTTGACTCAGTCACACATGGTGCAGCAGGTCCTTCAGCGCTTCGGCTTCACGTACTCCTCGCCTCAGGCCACTCCTCTGTCTACTCGCCACTCGCTCTCAGCTCTGCCTTCGGATGAGTCCGTAGAGTCGAGTGGCCCGTACCCAGAGCTTGTTGGTTGCCTCATGTACCTGATGACCTGCACACGACCTGACCTTGCATACCCTCTTAGCATTCTTGCACGCTATGTTGCTCCTGGGAGACACCGACCAGAGCACATGGCTGCAGCGAAGAGGGTGTTGCGCTACTTGTGCAGTACGTCGGGCATGGGGCTAGTGCTTGGAGGGCGGAGTCCAGTGGTGCTCACTGGGCACGCGGACGCTTCTTGGGCTGACGACCAGGCTACGCAGCGGTCGTCGCAGGGTTACACCTTCAGTCTTGGTTCCGGCTCTGTCTCGTGGCGGGCTACTCGCTCGTCTTCTGTTCTCGGCTCCAGTTGTGAGGCTGAGATCTACGCCGGGGCCATGGCTGCACAGGAGCTTCGCTGGCTCACCTACCTGCTGACTGACCTTGGAGAGCCGCCTCGTTCTCCTCCAGTGCTGTACGTAGACAACAAGGCCATGCTGGCCTTGTGTCGAGAGCAGCGCTTGGAGCACAGAACGAAGCACATTGCTCTCCGTTACTTTCTTGCTCGTGAGCTGCAGCAGCGTGGTCAGTTGCGACTTGCGTACGTGGCCTCTGAGGCCAACACTGCTGATGTGTTCACCAAGGCACTTCCGCCTTGTGACCATCAGCGCTTCTGCACTCAGCTGGGTCTTGTACCTGTCTTGCCTCACTTGCTCTCCTCTTGACCTTGCTTGTACTGTCACATATATATACCTGCTCTTGCTTGTCTAGCTCTATATATATATGTGCACTCCTGCATGTGAACTGGCCTTGTGGCCTTGTCGTTGTGCTCGGACTGTGTGGTGACTTTGTGATCCACCCTGAGCTTGCTGTTCTTTGCGTGACTGGTCTTGTGACCCCTTGTTCTCCCCCACATTGCCTATGGGGGTGTGTCAGAACATATATATAGCTTATGCTGTTGTGTAGGCTATAGTGGGGTATCCCATAGGGGGTACAACCCAATTAGGGTTTCCTATATGTACTCACTTCATTCATAGTTCATCCATTCTCGTTCTCATTCTCACACGCCCGTACAGGCTGTTGTTGCTCACATCGATCTGGTGAAGCACAGGGGGCAGACACAAGGCAAAAAAAGGTTGTAGGTGTTTGGATGTGGTCCCACCACTATTTACGCTATTACAGTGAACTCATGTCTCATGTGACTCCCTGTGGCGACCATGGTGAGGGCGCGAGCTGATTGAAATCATGATGCTCACATTTGGTTGACACACTTGTCAAAGAGGCAGTCTGGTAGGGGCCCGTAGAGGTAGTTGTTGCTCATCATGCTGCCAAAAAACCCAGACCGTAGTTGTTACTCAACAGCGGAACACAAGCCACGCCACGGCATTTAGTCATGCCCAGACCAAATGGCAAAGGCATGGAGATAAGGTTACTTTCCATACTTCCTTACAAACAGAATAATGAGTGCATTATGTATACAGTCACAGTGTACATGCATAAAAGACCATACTTTGACGTAGTGCCTCAGGTTTTGCAGTCCGATTTCTCACTCGTGACATATACTCGCTTGCGTGCACACACAACGACTCACATTCGCCAGAGCCAGGGAAGCGAGCACAGGCTAGCTGGCAGAGGGCCCTCGATGTTGTTGTTGTCCAGCCAGCTGCCGAGGCAGGCAGAGCAATAACGTGCCGAAGGTGGCACGATGAGTAAAAATACGGTACAATTGTTATGGGTAAAAACACACAGCAATTCCACACGCACATGCACACGCGCCCGCCCGCCCGCCCGCATGCACGGATGCACGCACCCACCCACGCACATCACGCGCGCACATGCGCATGCATGCACGCACACACGCACGCACGCACACACACACACACACACACTCACACACACACACACATACACACTCACACACACACACATGCAGAGAATTGTGGTAGCCTCAGAAATATTTTCGGTGATGGCCACGAAGGGAGAAATGCAAGAAAGGGCTAACAGGGCTATCAGTTGTGTCCGCAGCCTCATGGATTAGTCAGATACTGTCGAGTTGCATCGGACCGACACCTTTTCATGTAATCCCCTTTGTTTTGTTGTTAAGTAGAAAGAAATCAAATAGCCTGCTGTTTGTTGGTGGTTCTAAGTATTGTGAATGCAATCAAGTTCGTAATGCTGTTTTGTCCTGCCTAATGCCCCAGTGTATTTTCAGTCTGTGTTTCCCGGAATGCCCAAAACCCCCACAATTGCTCCCCCAATAAACTGGAAACCATGGAGACTGATGATAATGAACTCAAGCACTGAACGAACTCAAACCGGTTCCATTGGAACCTGTTCATGCCTGATATTCATGCCCCAGGTTCGACATACAGTCGAACAGTCGAACACCCCAATCCTGGAAACTGTTAGACTTGAACCGAACATTTTCAATTGTCTCGAGTGTTCGAAACGTTCGAATTCACTATTTTCTTATGCCGAGTTGGTGTCCTCCCCTGGTAAAAAACATGAACAGTAAGGAACTACCAGTTCTTTTTTCACTAAACAAAAAAACACGACCAGTAGAGCAGCATTAAACATATTCAATTTAAAGAACCGTTTTAGACAATATTATTTTTTTGCGAATGGGGAAACAAAAAAGAGACAGAAAATGAACGGCCCTACTTTGCACCTTGGTGGAGAGGGCGGTGGGTGCTGACATTCAGTAACCATTATGTAATCGATTTTCGCGTGTGACCTACTTTCTTTAAAACTGTCAAGCATAACGACAGTTAGCACCCTCACATCTGTTCAAGCTTCTCCAGTCGACTGATGGCAGCTGGCAGACTGCCACTCAGATGGTTGTTGGCCATGTAGCTGCAGGGATGGAGGGTAATGGCAGGGAGACGAGTCATTGCAGTGAGAAGTGGCGTGTGAAAGAGGAATGAGGGGTGCTGCAGGAAAGTGCCATGAGGCAGTGGCACGAACACTTTGTGGATGATTGAAACTCACAGATATTTCAGATTTGTCATGCTGAAGATGGCAGAGGGGATGGTGCCCGTCAGTTGGTTGTTGTTGAGGGTGCTGTAGGGGCATGAGAAGAGAAGTGCACATTGAGTCGCTGCTACTAGCACATGGGCGCACTGCCATCGTATATGCCACCACTGCTAGCAATCTCCCACAGATCCAGGTTCAAATATCGTAATCTTACACAACCCACATTGCTTGGATGTTGGGTATGTGTTGAAGGGCTTTGATTGAAGGGCATGTTTTGAGGGGCATCGGTTGAACAGCACGTTGGCATGGCTCACATGGCTTCGAGGGTGGTGAGGGTGGAGATGGAGTCAGGAATTGATCCTGTAAAGTTGTTGCCGCTGAGATCTCTGAACCACAACAAAACCAAGGCAGCAAGAGACAAGTCTCGGGTGAATGCAGGTGCTCATCATGGGTTCAAGTAAATGTCACAAAGCGCAGTGTGCTGAGAATATAGATGAGGAAGCAAGTCTAGTTTTGACTCTTTCCCAAATGGCACGGGCCGCAGGTATCCATAATACGGATACCTGCGGCTACCCAACGCAGGTATGCAGATGGGCGTTGGCTACCCAACGACCATCTGTTGATGTTCTAATGAGTGCAATAAAGGCAGATGTTTCCAAGCCGCATCATTTCTGAAGTACTCTTTAAAATTGACAGGAGCAACAATGGGTGATGGTATGCTGTCTGTATATGGGTAATCTCGCCCGGCTCGGAGACATGCTGACTAAGGAAGAGGGTACGGAGCAAGGATCAAAATGACGGTCATAGTAAAAAACGGGCCGTTCTTTACCATCGTTTTTTACAGTCAGTGTGGCAGAAATACGGCCGTTTTTTATTGGACATTTTGTGTGTTTTTTTTTTTCCCAACATTTTATAGAACACGACCTAGAATGACAAGGACCGACTGACAAACAAGCCTAGAATGGCCTACTACCCTTACTAACTATTAATTTACTCCCCAACCCATCCTTTCCCCCACTCTATCCTCCTCCCCTCCTCCTCTTCTCCGCCAATATACCCCTTATTCCCTCTCTACCCCCCACTACACTATACCCTACTGATGATCCTCTTCTTCCTCCTCCTCGTCATCCTCCTCATCCTCTTCCTCCTCCCCACTATCACCATCGCTGATATCCCACGGATCAATGCCCCTTTGGTTCTTGGCGGGTGCCGCCTCCTCACGCCCACTGCTGTCCACCGCCAGAGCCTCCTCCTCCTCATCCTCCTCCGCCTCCTCCTCCTCCCCCTCCTCCTCCTCCTCCTCCTCCTCCTCCTCCTCCTCCTCCTCTTCCTCCTCCTCGTCATCCTCCTCCTCCTCCTCCTCCTCCCCCCACTCTGCAGCTTTTCCCTTCCTCACAACCCTGCCTGAAACTTTGCCCTTGCCCTTGCCCTTCCCCTTCCCCTTCCCCTTCCTCTTCCTCTTGGAGGACTCTCCCGGACCCGCCTTCCTCTTCCTGCTCTTCTTCCCAACGCTACCGAACTCCGCCCAGTTAATGGTGGTGGTACACTCTTCCTCCTCTCCCTCCACTACTTCAGCCCCCTCTTCCTCAACTTCTGGCGCGACCGGGGGAACGGGGCAGCCGTCCTTGAGTGTGCCATTGCTCAGGTCACGATACAGGTTCTCACGCACAACCTGCCTGCAATCGAAAGCCTCACGTGCCCGCCTGGTGAACGCCACAAAGGTGACGTCAGTCATCTTTGTGGCGGCCAGGCGGTTCCGGTCCCGCCTCTGCACACGAGCAAGGGCGGACCAGTAGCGTTCCACCTCAGACGAGGTGACTGGCTGTGATAGGGTCATCACAGCCAGCTCCTGTAGCGCTTGGACCTCCCCTCCATACATCCACCACCATTCGGCATCCGTCAAGCGCCCACCCTCCACCAACGTCGAGGCCGCCCAACGAGCGTCGTGTGATCCAAGCCGCCCCTCTCCTTTGTGGAACTGGGCCAGCTGAGCGCACAGCAATGCGCGCTTAGCCACGTCCCCACCACGGGCTTGGATGACCGCATCCGCCCCTGCCATCACCTCTTTGTCGTTTCGCACCGCATTCTGATACTGGTTTCGGGGGTTGAGGAGCCACCCCAAAGCATGCAACGGGTTGTGTAGCTGGCCGTCCCATCTCTTGGCCACGATTGCCTTGATGGTTGCCAAGAAGGACGGCCTGTCCTTTGTCGCGAGAAGGCCGGTGCGCTTGACGAATAGTCCCGCTGTGGAGTGGACAGAGAACCAACGAACAAGTCAGTGCCTCGGATGGGACGGTAAACAGTATTTAGGGAGGGTACCAACATGTGTAAGTCGCTTACCTGCCGCCTCTGCAGCCTCGTTCGTTTTGACAGTAGCCTCTAACATGAGGCCATATATCTGCCCCATGAGTAGAGAGCGTTTGTCAACAGCCCGAAGCACCTCATAGACCGGAGTCATGAGGCGCTGGACTGCGACAACGAGCTCCCAAAACACATCATCAAGTAGGAGCGTGCGGACCGCTTGCCCCTCTTTCGACCGTGCCACCGCCACCTGCTCCCACTCCTCGCTAATCACCATCGCCTTAAGCGCCCTCTTCACTTCCAAGAAGCGGCCGACCATGATCACTTGGGTCCCAAAACGCGTTGCACCGGGCCGGACCAACGACAACTTCGTGAAGAGTGTGCGGAAAAGCACAACCGCGGAGGCGCTGCCCTTCACCATCATAACCACGCGGTGTACTTGGGCTAGAACGCGTCTCACCGCCCGAACCTTCCCGAAGTCGTGCAACATGAGGTCCAACACATGCGCGGCGCAATTCGTGAAGAACACATGGGGAACTTCGGGTTTCAGCAACTCGGCCGCACGCTTGTTGTTGGACGCGTTGTCCATCACGACTTGGACGACGTGATGGCGTCCCACAGAGCGGATCGCATCGCCAATAAGTCCCGCCAGGTACGCTCCGGTCTTTTTTGCAGTCTTAGAGTCCACGACCTCAACAATGACGGGTGCCGTGTCGTTAAGCGCGATGACGCACACCATGCCTCGTGACTTGATGCACGTCCACCCGTCCACCGAGAGGGAGCACCCGCTCATGTTCCAAGAGTCCTTGAGCGGCTGAACGAGGGCTTCCGTATCAGCCCTGAGTTTGGCAAGCAGCGGGCCCGAGACTCGGTAGGGTGTGGGAAGAGTGTATGGCTTCGCGAAGTTGACGGCCGCGTCCACAAACGCCTGGAACAATTTTGAATGAGACACGTTGAACGCGAGATCATTATCTGCCATAGCCGCACACCACAAGTAATCTAGACGTCCGCGGGCAACATCATCCGTCATGTCGCGGATGTCACGTTGCCTACGACGGACGGGCTGAAGTGCAACCGAGGACGTGGAGGCACGGTTTTCACAACCCCCGGTGGTGGACCGTTCGCGTTCGGCTTCCGCACGGAGTGCATCAGCCACGATCGACTTGCACATCGTCACGTTCTTAAGCTTGTCTGAGGGAGTCCCGTAAATATGGTACTTAATGCGTGTCGCGTTAGGAGTGACGGCATCTCCGCAATGCTTGCATGTCGCACTAACTACGCCGTTGGATGTCTCCTTGATCACGTGCTTCCGTTCGTCCGATAAAGGTCGCACCATGGCCTTATCTAAGATGAGTGAGAGAATGCTAAAATAATTCTGCCGCTAGGATGTGAAGACTAGTTTCTGCTCCACGTATTAGTACCTTCGTGGGGCAAAGGGCTTTGCAAGCGTTGTCGAGTGGAATTTGGGGATGGGGTGATGAGAGGAATGGAACAGGTGCAACTCTGATTGGCCGAAATGAGTTCGTAGCGCGAAGTTTGGGTTGTCGCACAAGCTGGCGAAAACCGAAATTGGGGGCGCGAAAGTGTGCAACAGCTATGCGAAACATTCAAACAATTGGCGTCAGTTCGCCAAATGTTTGATTGTCGTGGCCCGCTAAATCGAACTCGAAGCGCAACGGCGAACAACTGAAACGACAGGGCGAAACGGGTAAACCGTTGTCGACCGCCTCGCCAAATGCTCAAATGTCGCGCTTCGGGTAAATGCCGAAATTCGCGCTTCGGGAAAAAAAATCACAAACGATTGGATTCGTGGGGACAGAATTCGGTCCCCACGAATGACGGTTGGGAATGTCTTGTTTCGCTAATGTGTTACTCGGTTTCAAAGTTGCGGTCGTATTAAACGACCGTATTTTAAACCAACCACAAAATGAACATGACAATCGTTTTTTACCGTTTTATACGACCGAAATAAACGATACCGTTTTATACGGATAATTTTAAAAAAACGACCGTCATTTTGATCCTTGGTACGGAGAGGCTTACATTTGCTGACAGCTGACATTCCAACGTGAGAAGTCTGGTAAGGGGCCCCTAAATCCATTTCCTGCCATATTATTGCAGCAAGGGAGGCAGAAAGAGCAGCAGATGAAGATTTCAGGGGCATACACATAAAGAACGAACAGAAATGGGTAGCCCCCCACACACAAAGTGGTACAGGAACACACATTGGTGGAATCACACAACGATTGCACTGCTTACAGTATGCGAAGAGAAGGAGGGGCACTGAGATCATATGGAAGCCCCCCAGAAAGCAAGTTGTTGGCTACCGCCCTGCATTTGGAAGAAGGGGAAATGAAGGTAAAAAACGGTTTCATCCATAACTTCAGCAGCTGTAAGGAGGAGTCTTCAACATAACATGCAACAGACAGCAAGGTTGGTAAACGGCTGGGAAGTAGAAGAATGGGTAAACGGTTGGTAACCCTGAAAATAACCTCCATGCTAGTAGCTGGTACTCCAGGAGTTACTAGAAACGCACCATGTGACAGACGTTCTGCAGAATGCTAGTCTTCATATGAGCAGTCACTCTTTTATACATACTCAGATCCTCATCAAGGGGCAGAGGTAAGGGGTGCAATCTATGGCAGAAGTAAGGTGCTGCTGAATGGAAGAAAACGCTTTTGGAAACAAATGGTGCAATGGACTTCTGGAGCTACTTACAGTGTGTCCAGCATGGATAGCTGAAAGAGGCCGGAAGGGATGGTTCCACGGAAATTGTTGTCATTGAGATAACTGGGCAATAATGTCAAGGGTCTCAAAGTGATCGAATTTATCTAGAAAATCCACGAAGAAGGCTTTAAACTCTCCTCAGCCCCAAAATTAGTGCTTTGCTTAGCAATCATAATCTTGTCCGATCCCTGAAGGTCCCATAACCCAACAACCGCCTATTTTTCGCAAGCTGGTGAAACCACAGCTGATAACGCTGAACCCACAAGCATTTGTGCTGGATCCGGAAGCAACGCCACTCACATTCCCTGCAAGCTGACAAGTTCGGTCAATTCGCGAGGGATCGTCCCAGTGAAACTGTTGCTATTTAAGTCCCTGCCATAGCCATTCAAAAACGTGATTGGCACATTAGGCATTTAGATGATCAGGGGGCATAACTGGAAGAGATATGCTTCACAATTCCATGAATATGGCCAAGAGTGGATGTCTTACAAGTATTTAAGTTTCTTGTGGTGTAAGATAAAATCAGGGAAGGTTCCCGTAAAGTGGTTGCCAGTGATCAACCTGATCGTGGTGCGGAGATGATGAACACACATTCATGCAGAATGTAGTACGGGATAGCACACATTCAGGCACCCATATACAGGCATTCGTGAACACGTGGGCAAAAAACGATTGTCTCTGGCACTTTTGTTCATGCACACACATATTTGTATGTATGGACGTGCCCATCCACAAAGGTGTCCATGTGCACAGATGGAGACAGGCCAGCATGTGAACAGATCCCTAATATCATTCAGGTGCCCTTGAATCAGGGGTACTCGGAACTCTAGCTGTTGTTGAATCCAACGGAGGTAGGTGTAAAGAAAGCGGTTGTCGCACTAATGAAGTGAGAGATGGATAAAACGGACTCACAGAGACGAGAGGCCCTTGATTCCTGATAAGGACGCTGGTAGCACACCAGAGAAGTTGTTGGTATCAAGAATTCTGCAACGCCAGTGAGAAGTTGTTCGCAAAGAGGATACTGCGAAGCCAATGAGAAGCCAAGGAAGTGGCTCAATGTTGCAAGCAGGAAACGTTAGAAAGGCGAGGAAGAACAAGGTGAGATCAAATGGCAGGAATATGAGGAGGCAATGAGGGGAGAATGCTCACATGTCTGTGAGCCATGTCATCTGAGCCACCACATGAAGGCCTGAGCTGAGACTGTTGTCAGCAATGTGTCTGACAAGTTGTGCGGACATGTTGACACATATGTCATATCCGACCAGCATAACTGGGAATGTGGTAACTTGGTAAAAAAAGCCACAGCAATGATCAACTAGTAGCTTAAGCCTTATGATGCTACGGAGAACATTCTGTGCTTCTGTCATTCACTTAGGCAGCCGCTTAGTGCAGTTGGTGGGTACATACAGGGATAACCAAACGGTAGGGAGTGAACGTGGTGAGAGACTTACAGAGAACTCATGCCAGTTAGCCGAGTGAAGGTGTTAGGGATGCCTCCTGTGAACAGATTGTCGGACAATCGACTGCAACCAGGACAGCCCAACAGAAAAGATGGCATGGAGAAGCGGTGTAGAAAAGGATCTGCACAGAAATTAATATATGGGGCTAAGCAGGAAATGGAGATAAGACAATACGACTAAGGAGCAAATAGGACCGGAGGTTCATAGACGAGGGTGTAAGAAATGGGCAACCACAGTAAGGTTGGGCAACGAGGGTCTCACAGCTCAACAAGGCTGGGCATTGCCAGGTGTGGTGGGATGGGTCCACTGAATGAATTGTATTCAAGCACTCTGGATATGCAGGCACGACAGGTGAGAGGCAGCGACTCATTTCAGTATTCTCTGTGACCAGAGGTCACCTGCACAGGAAGGCGTGATGACTGTGGAAGGACACCGCATTTCATTATTGAGAGAGACAATAGGAAACTTTATTGAGACGGACAATTGGAGCAAAGCTAGCGAGGGATGGGGCAGAGTTGTACGAATGGATAAACGGAGTAGAGAAGAGAAGAGAAGGGGAAAGAAGGATGAAGAGGGGTTGATGGGAAGGAAGTTCGGAACAAGGAAGAAAGTATGGAGGACTGGACGGTAGGAAGCGAGTCGAAAGAAAAGGAGATTTCAAAACAGAAGGCTGCAAAAGAGGCACGAAGGTCAAACCACGAGCATGGTTCATTAGGCGGTGCACAAACGGAAGAGCTAAGTACGATGCAAACTGGCGCTCCCAGGAGGACGGTGAAAGAAGGGGCTGGTGGTCGAGGCATGGCTTTGGTGGTACACTAGGCGGAGAGAAGAGTGCGCGACATACATCGTTTGAATGTTGGTGCTGAATACTCGGGGTATCGAACCAGAAAGCGAATTCCCCGAAAGGTCCCTGCAATGGCACGTGGAACACCGATTAGTAGTGTACTTATTGAGGAAAAGACGAGCATAAACAGCGGGGACGGGGTGGGGTCCATACAGAAGATGGTAAGGTGGGAGGACACTGGAAACGCACATCACAGATAGGGCCGTTAGAGCTGAAAATGTGGCCGGAATGGTTCCTTGGAGGCGGTTGCTGCTTAAATATCTGAAGGGAAACAACGGAGGAGAACGAAAACAAGCTCACTATACTAAAGATGCAATCAAGAGTTGTTGGGTTTGTCAAGATGGGCACTGGCATGGTGCAACAGCAATAGGGTTCGTGCTGCTGCCAATAGCGTGGTATTTGGGGACAGCATCACGCAATGCTAGAAGTGCGCCATCTTCTAGGGGCATGGCGGCACGGCAATATGGTATGGCAAACAGTGACTTACAGCTCCTCGAGATTGACGAGCGTGGACCAGCTTTTTGACAGGTAACCCTCCAGGTTGTTTCCACTGATGGATCTGCAGAGCATGGGAGCAGGCAACGGATGGACGCCTGTGCTTTTAGTTGATGGGGGTCATGGAGAGGTTCGGGCAGGACTCACTGTTGGAGTAGGCTAGTCTCCGCTCTGTAATTTAAATGTGGCCTTCTGTTACCTTTCGGCCAGTTTTAGCCTTAATTTCATTTCAGGTTCAGTTTAGGTTCATTTTGCAGTTTGTTCGTAGACTAAACACACCCTATGTTCAGTTGGGATTCAGCCCCAACAAGCACTATTTCAATGTATCGAGGTCTATTCAACGCAGCTTCTTACATTCCTGATATCCATAGACCAAACACTCACGAGTGCCTTCTTGACCTACTGGAGGTGGCAATGAAGCAAGGATCAAGTTGATATGGTGCAGGGAATGGTATGTAGATCTATGTCGCCTTCAGCAGGACACACCGTACGTACATGTCATCTTCTTTTCAAACAGCACTGGTACAAATAACATAACCGTGGCATTTCATGTGAAAGGTCATAGCCCTCTTCTCCTGTGGGATTAACATCCTAGTTAAGAGCAAACTCCAAGCAATCATGCTCGCTACACTCCCACACACACTAAACTCACAGGAAGGTGAGTGCTGTGAGCTCAGAGATGTCGTCCTTCAAGAGCCCCTGCCGACGTGGATCGTCCGTATTCACGTTTCTGCGCACGAAAGAAGGCCGGCAAGACTCTCCGCACTGAGACAATTCCTGTCACGGTGATGGCTCTAGTGCATCGTGATTCGTGCAGGATGTAGTGTGTGGCGATCATGGAAGTAAGAGCAGCTCACAGATACTGAAGGCTTGAGAGGTGGGTGACCCAATCAGGAAACTCCAGGGCACGAAGATAGGATAGGTCCCTGCAGGGAGGATGGCATGAGCATGCCACATTGAGAGGGCAATCACAATGAGTTGCAGGCAAGGGGTTGGAGACGTTTCCTAGTGAAGAAGAAAAGTAGTGCTTCATCTGTCCCATCTTAGGACTTGTGTGCAGCTTACAGTCCAGTGAGGGTTGTCAAGTATCGGATCTCTCTGGGTATTTCCCCTGTGGCGTTGGTAAGCGAAATAATTTCCCTGCGTTAAAGCATACGTAATCAGCAAGGGGCAATTACATAACACTTGCGAGTCAAATTAGACAATGGCATTAAAATTCTGAGAAGGAACATGACGCAACCACGATATGAGAAACATGTGCACCGTACTGATGCTTACAGCTGTTGAAGGTTTCTCAGGTGAGAAAGAATGTGCAGGGAGGACAAGTCTCCTGTGAATGCAGCCAAGTACTCTAAACCCCTGGTGGTGGGAGGACAGTGAGGCAATGAAGAGACCATGATGGCTGTAAGGTACAAGCATGAAAATTCTGCATGGTTTGCTGCATGGGACTTTTGCACGCATGGCTGAAAGACACTGCCGTGTGCAAACCACACGTAGGGCGTACAGTGTTTGGAGGCTGGTGAGGGAGGAGAGCCAAGCCAGTCTGTCCAGAGTGCCAGTCAGCCTGCTGCCGCCAATAGCTCTGAGTGCACACGTGGCATGCAAACAGCAACAGAACACATGCAGGGTGAACGTGGCACAATCAGTGGGCAATGGGGACACAAGCCACAGGGGTAGAGGATTTAAGGGCGGCAGTAATCAATAGTTGTAAATGGTTCCAAGAGCAGGAGTGGGGCCGAATGGTAATGAGTGGTGCGAGAAAACGGAGAGGGAAGTCACGTGGTGAAGTTCTGGAAGGTGGGGGTTGGGGGGGAAGAGAGGGGGGGAAGGGGGGAGAGTGGGGGGGGGGGGGGGGAGGGGGGGGGGGGAGGGAGGGGGGAGATGCCTTTATTCTCTGCTGTAGCTCGAGAATGGGACTCGCTTGGCTCTCCTCCTCCCTCACCAACCTGCAAACACTGTTTGCGCTGCAAACACTTTTCGCGCCGCGAAAAGCAAACATTGTTGGCCATCCAAACTATATCATAGTTGGCATACCAATTTGTCTTTCAGCTCGAGGATGGGGGCATATTGGATGGGCCAGGAGTGCATCTGTGCCACACATTTCAGGCCCATCCAATCTGCCAGCAGAGACGCAAACCGATTCTCTGGCCCATCCAATATTTAGTGCATGCACAGCGATGTGCGGCACGTACAGGTGGAGAAGCCATGAGCGGCACGTACAGGTGGGTGAGGGCGGTGAGACTGGCGAGGGATGGAATGGGCCCCACCAAATCAATGTAGGTCAGATCGCTGTGTGGATGGGAGGAAATGATCGACAGAGAAGCCAAAGAAAGGACCCATCAAGCGCATCAAGTGACGCATCAAGCGCAGGGAGAGAGAAAGGCAGGTGATGGTAGGGTGATGGAGCCGAGCGGCGACGGGAAAGTGACGCATCAAGCGCAGGGAGAGAGAATGATCGGCTGTGGCGTGTGGATGGAGAAGGACGATATTGCAGTTGGGGAGCAGGGGCGCGAGGGATGAAAGAGAGTGGAAACACAAGAGCTCGCAGATGTTGGGCAAATGAGGGATGTAGAAGAGAGAGGGTGGGTGGTGACGAACAGGTATTGCAGAGTGGCGAGAGTAGTGATGGAGGCGGGTATGGCGCCACTGGGGGGAGGATCCGATTCAGGGAATAGCTTCGCATCCCTGCCAAGACAACCATGCATGCACACAGTACAGTATCCAGTCCATTCAATCCCACCACCCCACCTCCTCCACCCCATCCCCTTCCCCGTCCAGGTTCCGACTCCCTCCATCTCTCCCTCACGCACACACCCAGAATCCGGGATTGTTGCACATGCAGAAGCAAATTGTAGTGCAATGACGAATGTGAGGGCGACGAGAGCACTGATGGGCGACAAGGGGTGACGGAGGAGCGACCGACGGAACACCAATCCGGAAATGATGGCTACGGAAACTGAGAGCAGCGAGGGCAGTGAGGGGCGGCAATGAGGGGCGGCAATGGGACGCACAGGGCGGTGACGAGCCCGTTGGGGCTGCAGGTGACGCCAGTCGATGCAGAGCACGCAGTGGTGGCGTTGCTGTTGCCCGCCCACATGCCCCACGCCTCCTTCAGCTGCACCAGCGCCTTCACTGCCAAAATTGACGGAAAAAAATCGGAGCAGATTTGAATCTCCCAGCGCCCGTGCGTGACGACTCGTTGTCTGACTCTGAAACATGAGTTGGAACGGCAGCAGCTTGGACTCTACGCCGTGTGCTTCGAAACCTCTATTCCGTGAGAACCGGAGCTCCTCCGTTGGGAGGGAGGATGATGTCGCGAGGCAGGGAGCCCTAAACTACCAACCAACTTACATTGTGAGCCTTCCAGAGCGACACCCTGAAGGCTCGCAGCGCTCGATCCGGAGGCGGCGGTGGCAGCGTCGAGCTTTAAGAGGGAGCGACGGGCGCGATTGAGTCGAGGGAGGCGAGACAGGAGGGGCTGTTTGCGCACCCGCGCCGGGGCATCTCGGCGATGCGGAGGCAGTGCCGCGTGGTTGGCATTGGAAACGGAGCAAGCTGTGGCAGCAGGGAGCGCGATGGCCGCGAGAAGGAGGATTGCTGTGACATTTCCAGAGAATGGCCACACAGGCCCAGGGGAACGAGGCGTGGTTCTGCGCATGATTCGGAATTGTGCTTTGCTGGCGTATGAGCAGGAAAAAGAGCGGACAGAAATTGTAACTTGTGCAAACTCAGCTGAGGCTCGAGCTACAGCTGCTCCTTCTAGCAGGGTGTTGGTGGTGGGTAATATATTGGGTGGTTCGATCACGATGACTGTCAGGATGATGTCGGAAGTATACACCTAATGGCGTGGTGCCTTTACTAGATACTCTAAAAACATAGAATGCCCGGGGGACTTTCTAGAATTCAACAACAAAACATACGGGTGGAGCAGGGCTAATTTTTTGTTTTGACGAACCCTTATGATCAGTGCTGCACCTATGCAAATTCCTGATTATCAGTGTGACCCCTTAGGAAAATTCTTTTGCATCAGGGTTCAGGCTAGGTTTGAAAATTTTAACATGAGGCATCAGTGTAAGATTTTAAAAAACCCTGATCATTTGTTGTTGTTACATTGAAAGCACACAATAAAATTTGTTGTGCTGGGTTAAGCCAGGTTTCCTGCAAACCCGGTCGTGTTGGCATGTCGTCAGACAACAAGACCGAGTTGAGTCCTTGGCGTTGTGTATTACGAAACTGTAATTCTAGCCAATAGGGGCCCACTTCGTGCCAACACATGTTTTGTCTTGACAGTTGGCCAACGGGAATCGCGGGTTACGGGAAAGGGGGGGGTGGGGGGGGAATGGGTGGGGTGGGGTGTGGTACTCACGTCAGGGTAAAACTCGCTAAGAACGGTAACCCTGGGGCCACAGTGTGCCTTAAACGTAAACCCTGGCATATCAGGAAAGCTAAGCTCTTGAAAAAATTACCCTAAGGCATCAGTGTGACTACCAAAATCCACCCTCATAATCAGTGTATCAGGGTGATTTACACTGATAAAATTAGCCCTGGGGTGGACATTATCCCGGACCGTG